TAAACTTTTTGTACAATGCATAAATGAGGGGTAGCTTTTGCAGACACTGAGAAAAAAATACACTGAATGAAGATGCAATGTGCTCTTCAAGAAAAGTAGAAGAAAAATGGAAGACTGCATAATCCAGTGGTAGGATCTATCCAGAAAATAAGCTGCATAACGTCAGAATAGCTACAAATATTTTCTTTCAGCTCTAAGAAGCTACCATATTTAACTGTTTTCATCATTATTAGTTTTTTGCCACACTAATTGCTAAATACATACCTGTTCCTTAGACAGAAGAAGTGCCCTGCTTTCAAAATGACAGTTTGAGACATAGCAGAATTCTCATATAAGTTTCTCACAGTAAATGGAGGTCTTTGTTGTCCTTCAGCTGAAAGAATCAACATAATTTTCAAAAACAATTTGTTGCCCACTGTGTGCAAGGCACTGTTCCAGAGACAATCACAAGCAAAGCGCAATATTTATCCTCAAATAACTCATAGTTTGTGGTTAAGAAGCACAAGTGATGCTTGCAAAATGCCCTATGACAGGTATACATAAAGGGTTTTGAGATGTATAAGAGAAAGAAGGAATCAATCAGGTGTAAGAAGATCTGGAACGTTTCATCCTTTCAAGTAGACATTGGAAATGAATTTTGAATGATTTGTTTTTGAGGCAAGCAAGAGTCAGACAGGTGTCCCAGTGATAAGGAAGAGTCTGATGAAGGCATGTTTCTGAAATTGAAGAGACAATAAATAGTATGGTGAATGAGCTGGAGGAGCAGAGGGAGAAAATCGGAGGATGAGAGACAAAAAGAAGGAGAGTCTTTTCTTTGTCTAAAATGGAAATAAAAAAAAATAAATGTTCGATATTTGATGTGTATTTATTTTATGTATAAGAAAATTAAAAATGAGATGAGAAAATTTGAAATGTTTAATATTTAATGTACATTTCTTTTATGTATTACTGCTCAGCTAAAATGAGTAAGTAAAATGAAGAAGGATACCATGTTCTGTAGACATACCCAGACCAAGCCTTAGGGTTTTGTTTAAAGACTGAATTTAGCAGTTTTGAGATACCTAGAAGTTCCAGGCCTTTAGAAAACCAGAATTTCATCTACTTTTCACTATTATTCAGACTCAAATGGTGAACCAATGTGAGCAAAAGAAGGAAGGATCATATGATGAACTGAAATATACAGGAGCAATGACAGAATAAATAATAAGAGGAAGTCTGAGCAGAAATGAAACTTAAAAAAAGAGAAACCCAAAAGATATATACTGAACATATGCTAAATTTATAATTACAGCTATTCGAAACATTTGAGGGTAACTTATCAAGTTAAGGGCATGCAAAAATAAAAGGTATATTTCACTATGATCTTTTACATTCAACATTCAAAATTTTTCCAAAAAGCACAGATTGTATTTTTTAGGATTTTATCACTGTTAGTAACTTTTTTACATTTTCACTGATAAAAACAAAATACAAAAGAATTTAAGAAAGAGAATCAAAGAGCAGTGACCTAAATATACCCTATACTGAGTCTTATACTTCCTTTTTATAAAGCTTCTGTGACTAACATCCATTTCTCTATTTTATCTGAAAAAGCAAATCCTCTGTACATTGTGAGATTTTTATAAAAATGTATAACTTAATTCTCAGTTTATCATTGAAACTGAAATCATAATATAATAACACCAATAATAAACAATAATATTGATTCATTATATTTCTTATCAAACCATCAACATTGATGTTCCATTAACATAGAAACAACAACATGACTTACAGTGCTCGAATTAGAAGGCAATCATATTATTTGTTTTAATTTCTAGGTATATAAATATAAAAAATAAAGTAGACTGTAATAAATAGTAAGACCAAAACAAATAATACCAAATAAATGGAATAGGAAAAACTCTTGCTATTTAAAATGTTAATTCTTCAGGAATCTTCAAAAGTCAAGGAGACTTAGGTTAAGTCAAATTTCACTTTGTTTTGATATTTTTACCATTAATTATTCAAGCACACAGCGTTTAAATTGATTTGTAGATTTAATAGAGTGAAATGTCAGTGGATATTCTTTGTTTTCTTCCATATTTTTTAATCAAGAAAAGAAGAGAAACCTGGAAGGAAATTTTCCTGGAAACAGAGACAGCATTGTTCAGCAGCCAGAACAGTGAAGAGGGAGAAGATCAATTCAATTCTTCTGCTGAGAAGCCACCTGACCTTGGGCCTGTCACTCAGGTGTTCTGAGCCGCAGTTCCCTAATCACTCATCTTGCTTATTTTATAGGAGCTTTCGTTTCTTTACTGATAAAGTTGGTGTGCTTCATAATAACAACACCCGGCCAGGCGCGGTGGCTCAAGCCTGTAATTCCAGCACTTTGGGAGGCCGAGGCGGGTGGATCACGAGGTCAAGTGATCGAGACCATCCTGGTCAACATGGTGAAACCCCGTCTCTACTAAAAATACAAAAAATTATCTGGGCACGGTGGCGCGTGCCTGTAATCCCAGCTACTCAGGAGGCTGAGGCAGAAGAATTGCCTGAACCCAGGAGGCAGAGGTTGCGATGAGCCGAGATCGCGCCATTGCACTCCAGCCTGGGTAACAAGAGCGAAACTCCGTCTCAAAATAAATAAATAAATAAATAACAACACCCATGTGAGAACCAAATTAAATGTGGAAATATACATAATTGTAAATTATCGTACCCAGTTTTCTAGCACCTAGACGATATTTCATTAGTGAATAGAAAAAGAAAAGCTTCTCTTATTGATGCGCAGTAATATAAAACATTTAAAGAACAAACTCAAAATCTTCACTATAAGTAGAATTTTTTCTACTTATGAAGTGCTATTATCCTTAAAATGTTTGAGTTTATAAGTAGAAGGTCACATTAGGAATCTGCTTTGATTAAAACAAAATAATGATTCTTATAGCAAGTAAACCATCCATATAATAATAATCCATGGATCTATAATAAAGGTTAAATTCGCCAGGCTTTTACTTCTATCTACTGCTACACTGTCTACCTCTCCTCAACTTCACTTTTTCATTTGTTTTGCAATTTAGATTCTAAGAGTGTGTACAGTGTGGTTTTATATCTGCAGAAGACTCTGGCAGTTCAAACCCACAAAAGTTTGGGACTGTGATTACTTTTTTTTTCACCCCCATCCAGAGCCCAGATTGAGATAAGAAGCTTCTCTGGCATCTTTCTCTGCTTCTGGATAGATTTTTCTATCCCTCATTTTCACTGAGAAAGTAAATTTTTGAGGGTCAGGAGAGGGTGGAATTCATTATAATTCTCCATGTTGGATTATTCCCAAAGCCTTTTTCCTCTCCAGGACTTCTTCCCATTAAGCCACCTTGTATCTTTTTGTCCAGAGCAATCAGACAAGAATTGTGCTTGTTCAAAAATTGGTTTATCCCAGTTGCACTAGTTATTGTAATTATGCACCATAAATTAAGTACTTTGTAAGCTGATTAAATGTGACTGCAAAAAAAGTAAAAGTGATCCTTTTACTTGGAAAAGTTTTTCCTTTTGGAAATATTTGCTGAAGGCTATGCACACATAATATAGGCATGTAGGTATGGATGAGTCAGCTTGAAAAGATTAGGAGAAAATGATTTTTTTTTTTTTTTTTTTGAGATGGAGTTGTGCTGTTGTTACCCAGACTGGAGTGCAATGGCATGATATTGGTTCAGCGCAACCTCTGCCTCCTGGGTTCAAGCAATTCTCCTGCCTCAGCCTCCCGAGCTGGGACCACAGGCCCGCACCACCATGCCCGTCTAATTTTTGTATTTTTAGTAGAGACGGGGTTTCACCTTGTTGACCAGGATGGTCTCGATCTCTTGATCTCGTGATTCACCTACCTCGGCCTCCCAAAGTGCTGGGATTATAGGCGTTAGCCACTGCGCCTGGCAGAAAATAATCATTAAAACCTTAAAAGATTTAGCACCCAGATTGTTTTACAATTGTCTTTAAATCTAGACACCTTATTAAAGAAAATGAACCTGGCACTTACTGATGAGGCAGAAGAGGCATAGTTCATGAAAGCAGTAATACGTTAAACTCCAATCTGCAAATCATGTCAGAGGAAAAAGCCTTATTCTAAGTCAAAAGATTAGCTTTTCACTTTAAATAAAAATTTCAGATACATATAAATGATACTTATGATTCTTCTCTGTGACCAATATTCTCATTTGTCCAATTGCTACTGAATCGAATCAAATCAAATATGATGGATTGTATTGTACTATCTTAGGACAATACCCATCACAAGCATGGAATAATATAAAATGCGTGTTTAAATTATTTTACATTACCCTGAACATACAGTTATAATCTATCTATATTACTATTGCTACTACTAAAATCACTCATTGTTTAGTCACCACACTAATATCTCCCTGGAACCTCCGCCTTCTGCATTACTTCAGAGCACCACAATGCCCAAAAGAAATCTTTTCATTCCTGTCACCTGAGACCTTGGGGGGAAAAAATCTTTAGTACACCATCTAGGCACAAAGCTGGGGAATCTCTTTCCTAGCAAAGGATTGATACATTTTCTCTAAGCAGATAACTGTATCACTAGAAACATATTTTAAAAAGACCTGAAACAAAGTATTGCACAAAGAAAGGAAGATATTGTTTCTTAAAAGATATTGTTTCAATAAAAGAAAACATGGCAATATTTCTTGAAAGATTAGGGAAACTAATATTCTACAAGGTCTTTTACTCGTTATTTGTAAGTAGAGGCAACACCTCATTTATATCTCCTTATTTCATACAGAAGAGCTAACATTGACAGAAATAGTAAGTTCTCAATTTCTTCATACTGGTTTAACTTGTTTTTCTAGATTCCACCTTGGGCTTTCCTTGGGACCCAGCCATCCAGCCCAGTCCAGCCAGTCTGAAACAAACAGCTGCATTTAGAACCCACTGTTGACACAACAATCTGAGTTATATGTTCATTTTTAAAAGGGTAAGTGAACCCATTACTTCCCAGATTTCACAGGAGCCACTTCCTCGGAGCAGGCTACCATGGCCAGCCAGACTCAGGGGATCCACCAGCTCCTTCAGGCAGAAAAACAGGCTAAGGACAAGCTAGCAGAAGCCAAGAGGAGTAAGTCTCACCTGTGACGGGTTTGTCATGAAATAAACAAAGCAGTGGAATTCAGGGATACGGACAGACTTTTGGATTAGGCAGACCTTGTTTCAAACTTTGGTTTCTGTACTCTCTGTAAGACCCTTGCCCATTCATTAAAATTACCCAGCCATATATTCCTTATGTCTAGTGTAGGGATGAAGTTTCCTCATTCAGATCCTTTTGAGAGGTCATGAGCTCATGGACATTAAGATTATAGAGATGTGGGCTTCAGCCTCGGCTATACTATACCTCAGTTTTTCACCATTGTTAAGAGATAGCCAACTTCCAGATTGAATCTGCTTATTACTGTGTAAACTTTAGCAAATTATTTATTTTTTACAAGCATCAGTTTTCATTTCCATAAAATTGGAAATGTGCTTATTCTCATCCCTCTCTTGATAGCTTTTTAATATTAATATTTTAAAATATTTACGTTCTATTCTCATTTTCTACCTCTCTTTTTGTTTTTGTTTTTATTAATTTATTTTTAAGAGATGGGAGCCTCAGTATGTTGGGCAGGCTGGACTCCAACTCCTAGACTCAAGAGATCCTGCTGCCCCAGCCTACCAAGTAGCCGAGACTACAGGCACTTGCCACTGTACTCAGCTGTTTTCATGTGGTCATGTATTCATGTACTTACACATAGAATGTCCTCAGGGAACTCCAACCCCCTTCCTATTCTCTTCGATACTCACAACAGGCAAATGTATAGGATATTAACATAATTCCCAATGTATGCAGGAACAGAGTCAGTGATTTGTTCAAGGACATATTTTTTAAATAGAAAATATTGTTCCAGGCACCGTGATCATTGGTTATCTTTAATCCTTATAACCTTTACTGAAAATGCAAAAGTGATGCTTAGAGAAATTATACAACTCGTGTAAGGTCCCACAGAGGGTAAATGGTAGAGACAAGACTTAGATGAGCTGTAATTTCCAAACCCAGATCTTAACCACTGCACTTTATAAAATTCATACAATCTGTATAATAAAAAAACTAACATGTCTCAGATTTACAACTGGAATTCAGGTTCCCAAAGCCAAGACATTTTTATTTCACTGTCCCATTTCGTGTCACCTCATTATTCAATCTACAATGATTTGTAGCGTCTTTTGTGATTGCCTATCCTGCCTCTGCGATTAGAGTCAGTCTGGCAAAACAGGGGTCGTATCTTTAAAATGTTGCTTATGTAACTCTTTGGATGAATGCAATGATGAGATTGGAGTAGGTACTGAATTATTTCAATGTCATGAAATGAAGAAATAATATATTACAATGCAAAAAAGGAAGTTAGTAAGAAGGCAGGTACACTAAAGTTTTCAACCACAGGTAAAATCATTTTCTTTTCTTAAGATAAATCGATTTCCTGAACACTCAGCAACATGGGCATCAACAACAAAGAAGGAAAGACTCCAGGTGGAGATGATAGAAGAGGAAAGGAAGAAAGACAGTGAAGGCAAATTTTTCCTATTTCGAATTTCTTTTTCTACAACCAAGTGTGGAAATGGTCTCAAGATGGTATGAATGCAGAGTAATTTTATAGAAAACGAAGCAGTTCAGGACCTGTGGTTGAAACAGCATAGAGAATTTTCCCTTTGAAAAAATTTCAAGGTTTTTTTTTTTTTTTTTTTTTTTGATAGAGCTTGGTTCTGTTCCCACTCTGGATTGCAGATGATCTGGGCTCTTTGCAACCTCCATCTCCCGGGCTCAAGCCATACCTCAGCTTCTAGAGTAGCTGGGACCGCAAATGCACACAACCACTCCTGGCCAATTTCTGTAGAGACAGGGGTTTCCCCACGTTGCCGGGCTGGTCCCAAACCCCTGAACTCAAAAGATCCACTCGCCTCTGCCTCCCAATTATTGGGATTACAGGCACGAGCCACCATGCGGGCCTTTTAAAAAAACTTCTTTAACAATATTTAAAACATTCAGAACAGAAGACCAGATAATTTAAAGATGTGATAGTTATGTTGCTTTGCTTCCTCATTATGGAGAATACAAAATGAAATATTGAGTCCATATTAATCAATATTATTGTATGATTCAAATATTTTTACCAGCTATTTCTCCTTTTTTCAAGTCATTAGAGAATAAAAGTATTGCTAATCATGCAAGTTATTTTGGGGTGACAGCCAGTAAAGACAACTGGCTTCAAATTTCAGAATAAAGATAAAAGCCAAATTTCTTTTCCTTTCCTCTAGTGGATACGCTGTCCTTCGGCAATCTTTCCTCAGAATTCAGTATTGAAAAGTACGTGTTGTCTTTTTTTTTTTTTTTGAGACAGAGTCTCGCTCTGTCACCCGGGCTTGAGTGCGTTGGTGCAATCTCAGCTCACTGCAACCTCTGCCTCCCAGGTTCAAGCAATTATCCTGCCTCAGCCTCCTGAGTAGCTGGGATTACAGGGGCCTACCACCATGCCCGGCTAGTTTTTTAATATATTTTTGGTAGAGACAGGAGTTTCACTATGTTTGTCAGGCTGGTCTCGAACTCCTGACCTCGTGATCTGCCCACCTCGGCCTCCCCAAGTGCTGGGATTACAGGTGTAAGCCACCGCACCCAGCTCATATTGTTTTATTTATACACAAAAATGTTCATTTCATTTCAGTAACTTAAAATACATGCATACTTTTATCTTAGTGTACCATGTCTTTTTCATGAATATTCAGGTGGATATTCAGCCAGTAATAATAGATACCCAGGCTTTAAAGGAAATTTAAGGAATATTATGGAAAATATTTTGACTTTCAACAACTAACCTCTGCATGCAGCTTTATGGAGAATGTCAGCCTGTCCTGTTTGCCTCAGAAAGCTCAGGTTTTGCGGTCAGTTTTAACTGGATAGAAACTGTTTTCTTAAAGCTATCAGCAGGTGTTACAGTTTATAGTTACAACAGCTTACTCACACAAGCAGTCTATGGCAAAATAGAAATATTACCTTATATCTAGGTATGTTATAACTTCTCTAATGTTTCAGTAGTTTTTCTTTCATTTGTTTACTTAATCAAATAAGTATTTATTGGGTACCTACTAATTCCAAGCCATTTTGATATTTACACATATGAATCAGAACGAGCTCATCCTTAAAGAACTTTCCAGTGAGATAAATGCACAAATGACTATTTTAAAAAGAAAAAGGACTCATGGTGACAGAAGAGGTAAAAACAGTTATCATTTTAGTAAACCCATATATATTTGCTTTATTTTTTCATAAAAAGATTCATTTGAAATTCGACACATTAAGGTGGAAAGAGGACAGGAAGTCACGATAGTGAACACCATTGCAGATGATCTATGTCATTTCCTCTTTCTTAAGTCCCTGTATTTGAAAGACTCTCAGAAACTTAGGCATAGCATGCTAGATCAAGACCCTTGAATATATTATTTTTAAGAAAAAGAGGATGAAGGAAGGGTGAGAAAGAAGGAAAGAGAAAGGAAACAGCAATTCACATGTTAATCGTTTCAGGATAATACAAGATTAATAAGGTTATTTATATATTATGCTGCAAAAATGTTAATATATTCCATTAAGGGAAACTGCCTCAGATCCTGGTGCAGTTGCTACATAATACAGAATATGGTCTAAGGGTTTTGCTTTCAGAGATACAGATAAGGGATTATGAACCTGATGTATCAGGAGCTCTTCAGAAGGCCACGAGGTCTATAGAAATTGAATATGCAGGTCTCTGCTCTCAAGACATCCGCCAGCTACTGAGAGAAAGGAAATCTGACAGGGACATAGGCAGGATTGGGGACAAGCTTCAGAATTCAAACTGGGAAGTAGTAGAATATAAAAGCATTGGCTTAAGTGGAAAATCTATGATTTTTCATGTCATTTAACATCTTCGAGTTTCAGACGTTTTGTGTAAATAAAAATAGAAGTCGTAATACACACACACATAAACAACAAAATAAAAATAACTCGTGTGTATTCTGCTTTATTCTCTTACACATATATTTATGATTCTTAAAACCTTTAGGTTATATATTTTTGTATATTACTATAAGTAATAACAATAGAAGAATGAAACAGACTAGAATGATCTCATTCCATTTGTTTTTACCCCGGCTGTAAGTTCTGGCTTTACCTTTCCTAAAACAAAGAGACCAGGACTGCTTCTGGGGTAAGATGACTAGAAATGTTCAAACACTTGTCTGTATTCACTGATTACAGATTATATTTATTAGTTAAAGCTCTCACACATTTTTAGGTGCAAAGCCGCCTATTTTGGTTGAGTTTAGATGAAATCACAGTAGTTTGCACTACTTGAAATTGTCTTACCTAGATTCAATTCTCCTTACTTAATAAATTGTTCATTAATCAGAACATAAAAAGTGGGTGTGCTGGTTCAAGACAAGTTACCTTTTTAATAGGTAACACTTTTTAAAGAAATCTTCCCTGGAGCTCCAGGTTTGGGGTATTGAACTGAAACTTCAGTCAGATCTAGATTAAAAATTCAGAGTATCACTATCAACAGGAGGAACAGAGACTTGTGTTTCTCGGAAATACGTTGCATTTTTACTTTTAGTCATGACTTTTCTTAAGAGAAGTATTTACTTCACTTACACCCATTGCAAACTTTTAAAACTCTGTAGCTCTGCATGAACACTGTTCTGAAATATTCAGATGCATGCAATTCAGCATCACATAAAGAACTCATCATATTCCCAAATCATTTCTGAGCAGACACGGTAAACTCTCCTACAAATAAACACTCAATCTATTTACTTTGGAAGCTGTAGAAAGTAGCATTTATGTTTAACTAAAAATTACAGATTGCATTATGGGATATAGATCGAAAGAAATAGCAAAAAAATAAATTGTAAATTTTCCAACCTGGAGATTAGAAAAATTGAACAAGCAGCTATATTAAAAATGTCCTAAAAGCTGTAGACAGTCGTAACAAAAGTGAAGAACATACTGCTCTAGCTTTCTCCCAAAATAGTATGGTCAGTGCCCAGTCCCTCCAGCTGTTC